ATGTTGGGATATTTTTGGATATTTTTATTTTTTTTTCTATTTTATTTAAAATTAATTGGCGAGGGTATTTCCATGTTTACCCTTGAATTAAGGTTTGTTCTTTTGATGCCTTTAGTTTACATTTTTGATCCCAATATTTTCCACATGTTTTGACATATGAATAATGATTTTTTGAGTATGATTTTGATGCGTTGGTGATCATTTTTTGGATGTTTTTCATTTGGTTTTATTTGATCCTCGATGCATGCTCGATTAGCCTCCTTTATGAGATTGTTTGGTTCATTTTTTGATGCATCTATGCAATTCTTCTTGAGATCTTTTGCTAACTTGTTCTTGGTGTATATAAAATGAGTTAAAGCCTATTGATGAAATTTATTAGGTCATTTTTCTATTTTAGATTGATGCCTACATGTGACTTGGTTTTGGATTAAGTATGCATGAGGTTTGACTTAATTTCAAACCATTTTGTCCACTTGTGCTTAAATGAAGTTTGAGATGATTAGTTAATGTGATTACATGCTGTCTTAACTTGATTAAAGCTATGGATTCACTTTCATTTGATTATTTTTCTATTTATGGTTGAATTTCCAAGTTGATGATATTTTGGCCTTGCTCCTTTGATGTTCTTGACCTAGTTCCTTGAGATGATTTCTTGTATGACCTAATGGATGTTTGTGGACTTTTGTGGGCGTTGATTGACATGTTTAAGATTCTGATACTCATGTTATGATGTCCATTGTGTTATCGTTTCTCACCTCTTTTCTTCACATGATCTCTTGTTTCTTTGTACTGATGATTAGAGTGGTTTCTTGTGCTTGTTTTGAACATGATCATTCTTGAACTTGTTTGATGTCTTGATTGAAGGTGGATTGAATCATTTCGGTTTGATTCTGTTGTGGTTTGTATTACTTGATCATTTGTGATTTGTACCTTGCTTGAGCACATGTTTTCCTTTGAAGATGATCATGATGTATGCTTGCCTAGTTTTGATGCATGTTTGAATTTGATCTTTGAGATTCCGCCTTGCTATCCATTGAGTTGATGTTTGGTGTTTGGATTGATTTTCATGAACATGCTACTGCCCATCTCCATTCTTCAACCTAATTTCATTTATTTGAACCATGTGTGACTTGTTGTTTTGAGTTGATGATTTATGAATGCATAGTCTTTGAAGTGGTTCATGTTGGATGGTGCGGTGCCTCTTTTTTCATATTTGATTTGAATTGACCATAGTATGATGTGATTTCTGACTTTGTATATGATTCTTATCTTACTTAGCTCATTTTGTCTTTGTATGATGGTTAGTGATGTTCAATTTTGATTCTAAAACAAGTTTGTTTGTGCACTTTCTTGAATATCTTCATCTTTTCTTTTGAACTTGAAAGTGTGAACACTTTACTCATGAGGATGTGATGTTGGAGAATGTGAGGTTGATTGTGTTCTTTATCCATCTTTCATGTCTTGATTCATTTGATAAAGATGTTTTAATCTTGGTGTGACACTTGTGCATTGATGTTGATTCTTCTTATCCCGTGTTGCTTTTGACATCCTTCTTCTCTTCATCTCTTTTCTTCTCTTTTGGGTTTTGAATTCATATCTGTTGATATTTTTAAGGTATTGGAACTAGTCATACCACATAGTGAGCTAAACCAAATTGATAGTGTGACTAGCGTAGTGATTCTCATTACTCGTTATCGGATTCCATAGGCTTGACGTATATCCGGTTTTCTAGTAACCGTTCGTTATAGACGGTATAGTCCTCGACCGCTTCCGCAAATTAATTTTTTTTTAAAAAAACCATTTTATTGGTAGCGCCGAATCATTTAAGCAAGGGATCTATCCAACCCCCCTCTTCTAGATCCACGCCATCGTCTAACAAAATCGTACTCACTGGATCCCAAATTTATTCTAGCGTTGCTAGAACGCTGGAGACCAAAAACCCACACATTTCACCTGCCTTTTGGTGAATGTACTGTAACTTTACAAGATGTCTACATGTTACTTTGCCTACACATCAATGGTAAGGCCATCAACGCCAAAGTTGGTGTTAATGACCAACTTTGCAAAGATTTACCGGACGCCCCTCTATGTGTTGGAACACCTTAGCCACAACGTGAAGGTTGGCCGAGGGGTAAGGTATTAATTTGAAATACCTCAGAGAACACTATAATAGTATCGTGTTAAATGAGGAATCCACCTAGTATGAGAAGATACTTAAAACTCGGTGCTATATTATGATATTAATTAGTCATTTTTTATTTCTAGAAAGTACTGGAAGTATAGTAAATATTATGTAGTTACCGTTGTTGCACAACATTAATAAAGTGTGCACATATAGTCGAGGTTCAATTGTCCTCGTCCATCTATATAGTTCATTATATAAAATGCAAAAAAAAATTCTTGTACTTTTTATGGCCGCGCCTATCTCCTTCAAGTGTGGGATTGGTCTAAAATGCCAACACTTGCTTCAATCAACCGCAATCCATTCACATTCCCCTACGCTAACAAGTAAGTTTATTTTCAATACGAGTATACAAATGATGTTTCTTTGTAACTTAATTATTTGTGCAATGTTTCTTAGTAACTAGTTTATTTGTGTCTCTTTTTTTTAGGTGGTCTGTTCCAAGAATGAATTACCAAAGATGTCCCATGAACTCCATAATCGTCTACCGCAACCTTATAGAACACATTGGGTCAGACGATGTAATTTATGTACCAACGATGTCCCATTACGTTGTCTATTTAATAACCACATACTTGTTTTTCTCATTAAATATATTGTTAATGTAGTTTGTCTAGATATCGTACAAGGGTCTCGACCATCAGCCCAACGCCAATGATGTTGCCGTGTGGACAACTAAAACACCTATCATTCGGTTCACTATAATAAAGATGCACCAAAGTGATCGGGTGAAACTGCAGTTCAGGATGCATCAGGATATTCTAGTCGTTTCGACGTCTTTGAGAGACTGACATCAACTAAGGGTGGATACACAATAGAGTGTAAATCATTGGAAAGACTTTGCAAAAGAGATGTGTCTGCATTGGAAGAACCGACATCAACACATCTTAACCAACCCTATTGTGGAAAGGGCTAGACCAAGTTATCAATATATGATTTGGTTTAGGCCGGTTACAAAATCACAACAATTTGTGTCTGGGACGACATATTTGATTGGCCCAAGGCAATGTGCGTCTACCTCAAACCCACAACAACAACCCAATTCCCAACATCAAACACCATGCTATACCCAACATCCAACTATGTCCACCCAATCAATCTACCAAAACCGCAACCCATACATGCCACCAACCCAATCACAACAACAAGAGCCTTACCCCTATCGCCAGCCTCCCAAAACCGACACCACTTCTGCCTATAATCCTGATAACTCTTTTGACCCTACTCCATCCACCTATAACCCCGATAACTCTTTCGACCCCACACCAGCCAACTATAGCCCCCCACGAATGAACACACAATCTTCCTACCAACAAAATACGTATCCACTTTTTGACTACCAAACCCGACAACAACCATTACATCGTTTCCAAACCGATTCGATGTACCAATTCGGACAACCATACCGTCCACACTCGACCCAACCCCCCGTCCCAACTACGAAAACATGGACATTGAACTTAATTATGGAAGCGCCGTTGGCAGCGACCCGCCCAGCTATTGGGGTCAAATGCTTCAAAATTCATCTGATACGCCGGGGCCATCTCAATAAATACCCCTTCCACGTGTCAATACGCAAAGATCAAATACACCTCAACAACCTCATGGTAGACCTCGACGTCGCGCGAATCCTTCTCAATGTGGAACCGGTGGTCGTTTTAATAGAACCGGTCATTGATTCTCTTTTTTTCATCTGTTGTACACTATTTTCGCTTTTTTATATTATAAATATTTTAATTTATTATTTTTTTTACAAAATATTATATAATATATAAAAAAAAGAGGTCTTGTACTGAGGCGCCATATGGTATGGCGTCTCTTCTATAGACTAGGGTTTGATTTTTAAAGCTGGCACCATATAAGATGACATTTCTCATTTCATATGGCGCCTCAATGTGGAATTATAGCCACTTTAATTTATTTTTTTATAAATTTTTTTATTAAATTGATATTTTTTTTTAAAAAAATATAATTATTTTTAAAAAAATCGTATTGAAGCATTAATGTCAACAATTATTCCAATAAAAAGTTTCTTACATAATATATTTTTTTAAACTATGTTTCCCCTTCTACTAACCATTTTGACTAATATGGGACAAAAGTTTAAGACTTCATTATTTAAGGACACTCAAAAGATTCTCTATCATAGTCTCCCAATATTTGTAGATTTCCTCACAAAAGTTTTTGACTAATCTTTGGAGTTTGGAGAAACTATTAAAAATCATTTTATTTTCTAAACCTAACTACTAAATGTCTAACTCACATCTTGGCAAGGGTTGCCACTTCAATGTCTAGGCCCCATATTCCCCATTCATTACCTCTTTTCTTTCTATTGCATATCTTGTACAAAACTTTGACTTTTACAAGTCAATGTATATCTTGTCAAGGAATTCCTACACTAGTATACTATTCTTATATATTCCAAATCAATCAATCAACCAAAACAACCAAAACCAAAACCACAGGCAAAGCAATACATGTTAGGAAGTAGCTTGGAAGAATCATTTTTCTAACTTCTAACTTGTGGCCCCCTTTGTTATCACAAAGTCAAGTTAACATTTTGAAAAACAACCAAAACGACAATAATTTAACCAAACTTATCAACTATTCATAGCTACAACAAAACGATGCTTCCTCTCTCCATCTTGGAATCTCCATAGAACCCACCTTTTCATCATTTCTTCCATTATAACCCCCTCATATTTATTTACTCTTCACTCCTTATTTTCCACTCAACAAATTCTTCTCTCTCTCTCTCTCCCTTCAAAATCTAGAACACTTCTTTCTTAATTTCTCCGAAAAAAAAAACATAAGTACTATGGAACAAACCTTTGAGTCCACCTTCAGTTTTTGGTCCTCAAACATCCTAGAACCTCAAACATCTTTCTCTAGGCCTCCAAGATCATCCTCCAATCTAAGCAACCGAAAACCCTCATTGATGAACATCAAAATTCCTTCTATAACCAAACCTCTCCCACCACAAAACGTCGAAGAGGATAATAAGCACTATAGAGGTGTTAGAAGAAGACCATGGGGGAAATTTGCTGCGGAAATCCGTGACCCTAATAGAAAAGGGTCAAGGGTGTGGCTTGGAACCTTTGACACAGCCATAGAAGCTGCAAAAGCTTATGATAAAGCTGCTTTTCAGATGAGAGGAAGCAAGGCCATATTGAACTTTCCTCTAGATGTTGCAACGGATGAATCTGCAGAATATGCAGAATCATCAGTTTCACTTTCTAGCTCAAAATACATCAAAGTTGGTGAGAAAAGAGAAAGAGATGAAGGAAACTACAATGAAATTGAGATAAAAAGTCGCAGTAACAATAACAATAAGCAAGTGAAGATAGAAGAAGGAGTTTCAGTTTGTCCTTTGACTCCTTCATGTTGGAAAGGGTTTTGGGATACTGATGTTATGGGAACTATCTTCAGTGTACCTCCTTTGTCACCCTTATCTCCACTTATGGGATGCTGAGATTAGTTCATTATGGATCTTTCAATCATTTTGGGGTGTTAGAAGTGTTAAATCTTGCTCAAAGTAAAGGGAGATATATGGAGAGTCTTTTGATGATGCTAGGGGTGCTAATAGTATATTTTTGAAGGTGAAGGTTAGACATATATTGGTTGGTTTTATAGTGTAAATGTATAGGAAGTGTGAAGCTAGTGCTGAATTCTTTAATTTGTATATGTTCATCTGGTTAAGAATATTGAAATTTGTTTATTCGTTTATCCATGAAATTTGAATTCAACATTAGACATATAATAGAGATGTAAAAGATACTTGATTTATAAAAACAAAACAAAACACTTGCATACTATGAATATGATATATCAAACTTGTTACAGAACACAAGTAGATCCTCATCAGAAAAAGAGCCATTAGAACTTGTTAATTGATTATCAACACAAGACATCCTTCTCAAAAGAAACAGCAAAATATTGATAGAAAGTATAACATGTCATTAGTATTTTTCATGTCAAATTATTATGTTTAAGTTGTTAAGATCCTATGCAATTACTCTTGGGCAACAACAAAATGTTTATATAGACACCAAGATAATTAGTTAATCATGTTGAAAAAAGTAATTCAAGTAAAGCGCATCTGATTACGTAATTGGTTATTACATATTCCAAATTCAAATAAAATGTTGTTGTAACTAGTTACCATTTTGGTGTCACTGGTTAAATTTTGTTTTTTCTATTAGTTGGTTAGCTATACAATTGTGTATTAATGTATAAATATTTAAATTTGGATTGTTAATAATAATGCCACTATTTTCACCCTACTTTCTTTAATTCTCTCGCTCTCCCTACATTTTCACACTTTTTCATCATTGTTCTCTTGTGATTGAGTTTTACCCCAACATTTGACACTGAGAGTCTAGTTGTTTAATCAAACATTTAGTGTGCGGAAATGTTTTCCATCTCCAATGAACGTATTCTTGTAAATCTCTCAATTCTCGGTGCAAAGAATTATGATAAGTGGTGAAAACAGATGAAGGTGCTAGCTATTTGGTAATCAAGATGTTCTTGAAGTGATCAACAATGATGTTAATCCATTTGTAGAGGTGCAACGGCTTTACAAAGGACTACACATTAGAAAGAGAAGACGAAATATTTCAAAGCTTTGTATCTAATTCATCAATGTGTTGATGCTGATAATTTTGAGAAGGTTGGTGACTACACATCCTCAATGCAAGCTTGGAAAATTTTGAAGAAAACCTATGCAGGAGCTGATAAGGTAAAGGTGGTGAGGTTAAAAGCTCACAAGAGGCAGCTCAAATTGATTCAGATGGAGCAGAAAGAAACAATTCATGAATTTACTACAAGAATCAGAATATCGTTGAGTCAAGTGAAGGCTTGTGGAGAGACAATCATTGAGCAGTATGTGGTTGGTAAAATCTTGAAATCGTTAACATCAAGATTCGATAAGGTAGTGGTTACAGTTGAAGAGTTCAAAAATATTTCAACCATGAGCAAAGAAGAGTTGCAAAACTCTCCTAAGGCTCATGAGCAGAGAAGGGAGAAGATGATTTTTGATAAAGCGAAAGATGAGATTGCTTTGTAGGACCGTTTTGTTGGAAAAGATAAGAAGGCGAAGAGAAAGTGGTCCATGAATAGAGGTAGAGGAAACTATCAAAAGAATGATGGAATGAACTCCCAAAATTCCAACAATTTAACATTCCAAAAGGGTGAAAGCAACTACAATATAGGTGGTGGATCAAGCAATTATAAAGGTGGTAACAATAGAGGAAGAGGAGGAAGAAAGAAAGATGATAATATCAATATCCAATGCTACAATTGTCAAAAGCATGGACATTTTGCTCGTGAATGTGCCAACAAGAATGATTCACAAGAAGCTGAAGTAAAATTTTCAAAGAAATAAGATGATGCAAGCACACTATTGTTGGTGACTATTTAAGTTGAAAATAGCACAGAAAAACATAGGTTTAACCGATAACAAGCAGAATGTAACCAGTTACCATTAGTTGAAAATCTGATGGTGACTACGTGAGAAGATGTAGAATGCAGCGATCAACTATATATTAACTCTGGGTGTTCAACTCACATGACATGAAGGAAGAATTTGTTTGTAAAAATAAATTAAGCGATGAAGAACAAGGTCAAATTTGCAGATGATAACACACTAGAAATATAGGGGATTGGCGATTGCATTTTGTTTATTAAAGATGTGTTGTATATTATTGGAATCAAGTGTAATCTTTTAAGCATTGGTCAATTGCTTGAAAAGAATTACCAGATTCACATGGAAAATAAAGTGTTGAAAGTTATGGATGCAAATGGGAGTTTGATCCTAAAGGCCCGTATGGCTCAGAACAGAACTTTCTAGGTTGAATTGAAAGTAATGGAGCAAAGGTGTCTTGCAACTACAACAAGTAGGGAGTAATGGATATGGCACTATAGGTTTAGGCATTTGAATTTCATAGATGTTAATGATATGCAGAAAAACAACATGGTTACGGGGCTACCATTGATCAATATGAAAACTGAAGCATGTGAAGAGTGTGTGCAAACTAAGAAACACATAGGCTGCTTTAGAAAAGATGCGAGATGTAGAACCAAGTGTCATTTTGAGGTGGTGTATTTAGATATTTGTGGATCAATGTAAGTGGACTCAATCAGAGGCAATATGTACTTTGTCAATTTCCTTGATAATTATAGTATAAAGTTATGGAATTACTTTATCAAAAGAAAAGATGATGTTCTTGAAGTGTTCAAGAAGTTCAAATTTATGGTAGAAACACAAAGTTATCACAAAATCAAAACTTCAAAAACAGATGGAGAAGGTGAATATTTCTTAAATTATTTTGGTAAATTTTGTGATTAAGAGGGCATTGTACAAGAGGTAGTTCTACCTTATACGCCTCAACAAAAACGGAGTCTCTAAGAGGAAAAATCGATCAATTATGAACATGGTAAGAAGCATGTTGAAAGGGAAGCACTTGCCAAAAGAATTATGGGGAAAAGTGGTGTCCACTGCAACATATTTGTTGAATATGTGTCCAACAAAGAAGTTGAAAAATATTACACCCGATGAATCATGGTCTGGATTCAAACCAAGTATGAGTCATATGAGGGTGTTTGGTTCAGTGTCGTATAGACATGTTTCAGATCAACTTAGTAAAATGATAGATGACAAGGGAGATCAAATTATACTTGTTAGGTATCACTCAACAGGTGGTTACAAACTCTATAACGCAGTTAACAAGAGAGTCATGATTAGTACGAATGTGATTTTTGATGAACTAAGGGACTGACAACTTGCAATAATTAATTACCAATCAAATGTAATCAGTTATCACAATGTTGAAACTGTTCCTGCAATATTTGGAGGGGCATAAATTGCAGCTGGTGAAGTCGAATGTGAAGAAAATTTGAGAAGATCAACAAGGCAAATACGCATGCCTAGAAAATTGCAAGATTAAGAGTTGTTCCTGGGTAATGAAGTAAACAATAATGACGATCTTATCCATTTTGCACTTATGGTTGAATTCTAACCAGTGAAAACATATGAGACCTTGAGTGATCCAAAATATATATGTGCAATGAAGAAGGAGTTGGTGTCAATTAGGAAAAATAAGACATGGAAATTAGTTGATCTACCTCAAGGAAAGAAGCCAATTGGTGTAAGATGGGTGTACAAAGTGAAGGCAAATCTTTAAGGTGGAGTAATCAAGCATAATGATATATTAGTGGCAAAGGAATCTTTGCAAATAGAAGGCATAGGCTTTGTAGAAGTATTTGCATCGATGGCTAGAATTGAAACCATAAGGCTAGTTGTTGGAATGAAGAATAACAACAATTGGTTCATATATCAAATGGATGTCAAATATGCATTTTTGAATGACCCATTAGAATATGAAGTGTATGTGGCACAACCACTTAGTTTTGTTGTAAAAAAAATTAGAAATCTAAGTTCTATAGATTGAGCAAGGCATTGTATGGGTTGAAGTAAACACCAAGAGCTAAGAACAAGAAAATTGATGGGTTTTTAAAGTAGATAAGATTTGATAAATGTGTATCCTAACATGGTGCGTGTGTGTGTGTGTGTGTGTGTGTGTGTGTGTGTGTGTGTGTGTGTGTGTGTGTGTGTGTGTGTGAAGAAGGATGAAATTAAATTAGTGAGCATCATATGTCTCTAAGTTAATAATTTACTAAATACGGGCAACAGTGGAGATTACATTAGCGAATTCAAGGCTGATTTAGTGAAGGAGTTTGAGATGACTAACCTTGGTTTCATGAAATATTTCATTGACATTGAGTTTCACAAGTCTGAAAAGGAACTGCTCATGCATCAAAAGAGGTATGCACTTAAGATATTGAAGAAGTTTGAAATGGAGCATTGTAAAGTGGCCATTACCCCTACAGAACCAAGGATGAAACTGTCAAATAATGAATATGGGCAAAATATTAATCCAATGCAGTACAAGAGGTTGATTGAATCATTGTGGTACTTGTGCAATACGAGAATGGACTTAGCATATAGAATGCGCATAGTGAGCAAATTTATGGGGAAGCAAATGGTATCACACTTGGCAGTAGTTAAGAAATTTTTGAGATACGTTAAAGATTTGATTGGTTGCATAATTTTGTTTCCAGCAAGGGACAGAGGTAGAAGTTGCAAATTACTCGGTTATACCGACTAAAACTGGTGTGGAGATGAAGATGAAAAAATTTATTGTTGAATACATCTTTATGTATGGAGAAACATCAATCTTTTGGTGTTTAAAGAAGAAACTAGTTGGGGTGTTGTCTTCTTGTGAGACTTAGTACATTTAAGCATCCATTTGTGCACGTCAAGTTGTATGGTTGATGAATTTGATGAAGGAGTTATGCATCAAAGAGAATGAAGTTATGACTTTCATGATAGAAAATGCTTCCACTATAAGCCTTTCCAAGAATCTCGTTGCACATGGGAGAAGCAAGCATATAGATATGAGATTTCACTGTTTT